ATGCTGAGAATTAATCTCCCTCAGCGCTTTAATTTCTCGCAGCGCTGTCGTTGGCATCCCTTGATCCAGCCTCCGCAATGGTATCTTCTTCAGCGCCACAGTCTTCCCCGTCAGGTTGTGTTTCGCCCTGACCACAACGCCATGAGCACCTTCTCCTATGCGCCCGATGACGGTGTAGGCATCCATGCTGGTGTGTTAATCCGTGCTTAAGGGATTGTCATGCGTCTGGCACTGTGATTTCTGTTTCTTCTTGTTTGGTTTATGTTCGACTTGGTTTCCGACATTGGTCATAACATTGTGAATTATCTGGTCAAATTTATATCCAATTTCACTGATTCGCGGTTCATCGTTAAAGGTTTTGTACACCATTAAGAGTCCGCCATGAGACTAGTTATAGCATTTCGGATATATTCCACATGATAGGACCTTAATAAATCATTCTTGTAAGTATTCATTAATCACATTGAACAGTTTCTTAGCGCCATAGCTTAAACTTCCACAAAAATACGTACAGCTGTCAAAACACGATCACATGGAAGGGATTGTTTGTACACAACACCACTGCGTTTCCATGGCAACCGAGTTACTGAATCGCCCGCTAGGTGGCAGCACTGATCCCCCCCCCCCCGCGAAATTTATCGGATATCAAAAGTTATGAATTTTGAAAGAATGCAATGATTATCGGGATGGAAAACGTTAAATAAGTTTGTTTTATGCCTAAAATTTGAGTTAAAAGACGTATATAATGTTCAAACATTTCAAGGACAATCATTTTAATAACTAAAAGACAATTTATTTGTGCTTTTTTTTGTTATCGTTTATTAAGTAACATTTAACACAAACCAGGAAAATTGTCTTTATCCAGAGTAGTTATGACCAATGTCAGAATTATTACTGTCATCGATACCCAGATATATCCTTATTGACATTTTCATCGGTAGTGAAATACGAAAAAAAATACAATCAACAAATCTTCCAGAAAGCCCAAATAAAGATCTAAAGTATATATAATAAACAGAAGTAGTAAAATAACATAAGAAAATCCAAAACTGTGCCAAATACAAAGAGAAAATAACCAAAAAACGAGAAGACATCATCCGTGCGCACGGTCGAGCGTCACTTGTTTCAGCTCCACGAAGGCAGGAGAAAACAAGTGTAACGTCAGTGTTCCTTTGGATCTCAGTGGCGTAGGACGTGTTCTAAACCTCGGGAGTAAATCTTTTGTGTTAACTTTGCGTTTCGGGACTTGGATTGGCTTCGAGGAGCAGATTTTTTTGATTTGGGTAAGTCACAGAATCCATTTTTGCATGTGTTATTACCACCCGAGACGGAGAAACGGGACGATTATCGGTGAAAAATGGTCAATCGTGTAAGTTTAAGGTTTTCTTCTGTTGACGTTTTGTCTTTGACCTCAAAAAAACCTCCACATATTTTCACGATGGAGGAGGAAGTGTGGCGTCGCTCGGCTCTTTCCGGACGTGTTTCGACTGTCGTTCCAGGACAGAAATGACCCGCAAGGAAGAAATGAGGAAGAGAGAGAGAGAAGAAAGCAGTCGGACGCAGTTGGATTATCGGTACTTTTTTGAACTCGTGAGAGGCGGTCGCAGCATCGGACCGGAGAGAGAGGGAGAGAGAGGAGAAGATAGGTAGAAGAGAGAGAGAGAGGAGAGAGAGAGAGAAGATAGGTAGAGAGAGAGAGAGAGGGAGAGAGAGGAGAAGATAGGTAGAAGAGAGAGAGAGAGAGAGAGAGAGAGAGAGGAGAAGATAGGTAGAAGAGAGAGAGAGAGAGAGAGAGAGAGGAGAAGATAGGTAGAAGAGAGAGAGAGAGAGAGAGGGAGAAGATAGGTAGAAGAGAGAGAGAGAGAAGGAGAAGATAGGTAGAAGAGAGAGAGAGAGAAGGAGAAGATAGGTAGGAGAGAGAGAGAGAGAGAGAGAGAGAGAGAGAGAGGGGGGGGGGGGGGCAGGGGTAAATAGGTAGACAGAGAGAGGGGGAGAGAGAGAAGGAGATAGAGCTAGATAAGTAGAGAGAGATAGGGAGAGTGAGGCAGGGTCAGATAGCCACACAGAGAGAGAGAGAGAGACAGACAGACAGTAGATAGGTAGGGAGAGTGAGAGAAAGAGAGAAGCAGAAGGGGTAGATAAGTAGAGAGAGATAGGGAGAGTGAGGCAGGGTCAGATAGCCACACAGAGAGAGAGAGAGAGAAAGAGAGAGAGTAGATAGGTAGGGAGAGTGAGAGAAAGAGAGAAGCAGAAGGGGTAGATAGGTAGAGAGAGAGGAGATAGAGCTAGAAAAGTAGAGAGAGATAGGGAGAGTGAGAGTAAGAGAGAGAGAAACAGGAGTAGATAGGTAGAGAGAGAGAGAGAAGGAGACAAGTAGAGAGGGAGAAAGAGAAGGAGATGGGGCTAGATAAGTAGAGAGAGATAGGGAGAGTAAGAGAGAGGGAGATAGGGAGAGTGAGAGAAAGAGAGAAGGAGAAGGAGACAGGGGTAGATAGGTAGAGAGAGAGAGAGAGGGAGAAGGAGTTGACTGGAATGGAGGGAAAGAGAAACATGAAAGAGAGAGTGAGAGAAAATGTGGAATGAGAGAGGGAAGGGAGAGAAAGAATGAAAAAGAACAGGGGAAGGAGAGAATGTGTTTGTACTGAAAGGAAGAGAAAGAAAAGGGAGGAAAGAAACAGAAAGAATGAAATGGAAAATGAATATAGTGTTATGCTTTAGATAGAATGGCACATACAGCAGGCAAGAGGAGAGGCTAAACGGAGAGGTAGACTGAAAGCGAGAAATGAAGATAGGAACTGTAGAAATATCGAATAAAAAAAATAAGAGAGAGAATGATAAATTTGGAGAAGGAAACAAAAAGTCAGAAGGAGGGTAAGATAGCAATAATGTGAATTAATTGGAGAAAGGTGAAATAGGGAAGAAGAAATGTTGCTGATGGTATCATGATTCAGTTGAACAGGAGAGGCAACTAGTAGAAGTCTTAGGCCTAACACAGGTGACAGCCAAGAAGATAACAAACAACTAGAGGCTTGTTTTCTGTTTAAATTTATTCCTTTCTTTATAGCATTCCTATAGATGTTGATTTTGAATTTATTTGTGTTTCCAGTGAGAGAGAAGGGAAGATACTTTTTTTATGATATTTACATATATTGAACTTTAGAACATATTGACAGAAAAGGTATAAGTGAATGAGATTAATGTTGGTCCACCTTAAATTATTGAAGAAATCGTACTTTGGGTGTCGTAATTGCGTATGCCCAAGTTACCGTACCAATCCATCATTTTAGAAGTGTGTTATGGATGCCAGATAGCTAGGTAAATCTGTTTAAGAAAGAAAATAATTGATAGGAATCATACTACATATTTTAAGGGGAAAGAAGACTACTCAAAATGCAGAATTAAGAGTGGCAAATAACCGGTTTATGCTGCGAATAGTTAATTAAGTTCCATAGAACTACAACTTTTGCATAATAAACTACTATGCTTTTTGAATGATAATCAACATTCAACCTGTGGTGGATATATGTAGGTGATACTGTTATGACTTAGGAAATGTGATATTTAACTTATTTTGTTTGTATTCTATGAATGACCATGATCTGTAATGGAAGGCCTACAAAGTGAAGTCCAACTTGATAGTCACACATTGTCAAAGGAATGCCACAACCTCTGCCCTTTGTGCTCTAGCAAAGACCGACAAACCTCCACCAGTATTATAGCAAGACAAGGCCTCGACTGTTCCGCATTTGATGGTAAATCATCAGGGGTTTTATTTTGCCAGAATATATGTGGTGAAGATTTGTTGGTCTTTGCCCGAGTGCTGAGGCGAGTGATAGATGCTCGGATGATTTTTAAACATTTATCCAGATCTTTATGTTTATGTGTATAAGCTTTCTTATTTTTTTTTTCATTATTGTGAATGCAACGGTGGTAATTTGAATGATTTGCTGTTATTTTGTGCTCATGTCATTTAAAAGAGCTTCAAATGTCTTCTGGATAATCTTAACTGACTCCATGCAATTTATTGCAATAACTAACTGATATATTACAGTTTTATTGTTATAATAGAAAGATCTTATCTGTATGCCAACAATAATGCACACCCTTTTATTTTACATGCCATTTTGTTTGGCACAGAGAAACACCATATGTTTTGACATTAAAGAAAATCCTTTTAGGAACAAACTATGTAATTGATCATTTTTTTGCCCTGTTAGCATTGTGGTTTGAATAGATTTATTTGCAATATATATGCAGTCAAGATTTAGTGCACATTAGTATCAGAGTAAATCAATTTTGCTGCATAATCATGATTTTAGACATGGCAGTTGGTATTAATCAGTGTTATATATTTGTTTCATGCATCAATTATTAGAGGCTGTTTGCACCTTCTTATTGGTTTTATTGTGGCGAAGAAAAAATATATCAGCTCTTTAATACTATGAAGCTTTTGCTTATGCTTTAGGAATCAATTGATAATGATTTGACTATCTTGACTGATGGTGAGATTGTACTTTTATAGATGGGAAGCAAGACTGTTATTCTGAGATATTGAGAAGAATTAAGTGTATTTAAGAGACAAAACCAGAGTGTCTGTGCGTTATGTGCATGGCAGACTGGCTCTATCACAGCATAAACAAATTTCTCATGTGAATGTTTGTGCGATATCAGTATGTTGGCTAAAATAATTCAAATCAGTGTGTGCTCAGATGGTTATGGATGGCTGTTTGTATGGCTTTAATATGATTGTTTGTGTCACGGGTTAATTGTCAGGTGATTTCAGTGAGGTATCGGTTGGCTGGAGCACTGATCAGCTGGTTCATCGGTTGAACGGTTCAAGGAGCTCGTGGTTTCTTAACTGAAGAAAATATTTCCACATTCAGTGTGAGGGCACTTTGAGCTGTTTGTTGGGATACCTTTCTAAAAGGGAAGTGAAATTACGTGGGCAGGACAAGACGCTCCTTGATGCTTTGTTTCTACCCGGGCTGTGGGAGTCTTAGCCAGGTGACGCAACGTGCAGCGATAACAGATAAGGGCCGTGTTGAGACGGATCTTTTCGTTCGTGGGTTCGCGAGCTGAGCAGCAAAGGGAGGGTGACAAATAGAATGCGATGAAGACGTATATGGCACTGCGGTGATGGACTTGACCTTCCTTCGCTTAATGCTCCTCGCTTCATGGAGCTCTTTGTCACGGTATTTGGCGTCACGAGGGAAGGGGCGGAGGCGGGGGAGGGGGAGGGAGACGGACGGACAGAGGCAGGCAGGCAGGCAGGCAGGCAGGCAGGCAGGCAGGCAGGCAGGCAGGCAGGCAGGCAGGCAGGCAGGCAGGCAGGCAGGCAGGCAGGCAGGCAGGCAGGCAGGCAGGCAGGCAGGGAAATACAGACAGGCAGGCAGGCAGACAGACAGATAGAGACAGAATGGTGGTATTCACATTAGTGTTCCTGCATTAATTGCCTGTTCCACCTCATACACTTTGATTAGGTTTAGCGTTTGCATTTGAAGTTTGAACCAAAGTTTAGATACTGTCGAAGATTATAGGCTTTACATT